ATCCGTATTGTCAAGAGTCGGAACAAGGAGGCCTACAGTATCAATGCGCGCTCACTGTTCGACGAGAACTACAATCTTGCCAATACCCAGCAACGCAAGAACAAGGATATCCCCGAAGGTGGCGCAAAGGGTGTGATCCTGCTTGACGTTAACCACCAGGATAAGGCCCGCGTGGCTTTCGAGAAGTACATCGACAGTATCTTGGACCTGCTGCTGCCTCCTGTCAGCCCGGGAATCAAGGACCCGATTGTGGACTTGCATGGCAAGGACGAGATTTTGTTCATGGGACCCGACGAGAACACGGCCGAATTGGTCGACTGGGCCACGGAACATGCCCGCAACCGCGGTGCCCCCTGGTGGAAGTCGTTCTTCACGGGCAAGAGCCCCAAGCTTGGCGGTATCCCTCATGATACCTATGGAATGACGACCCTGTCGGTCCGTCAGTATGTGCTTGGTATCTACCGCAAGCTGAAGATCGACCCGAGCACCATCCGCAAGCTGCAGACTGGTGGGCCTGACGGCGATCTGGGCTCTAATGAGATCCTCCTGTCCAATGAGAAATATACCGCCATTGTCGACGGATCCGGTGTGATCGTTGATCCCCAGGGTCTGAATCATGAGGAGCTTGTCAGACTCGCCAAGAAGCGGGCAACCATCTCTGAGTTCGACCTGTCGAAGCTCTCACCCAAGGGTTATCGGGTTCTGGTCGATGAAAGTAACGTCCATTTGCCAAGTGGCGAGCTGGTCCACAATGGTATGATTTTCCGCAACCTATTCCATCTGCGTCGTGACCAGCAATATGATACATTCGTGCCTTGCGGTGGACGACCGGAGTCTATTGATCTCTCCACTGTTGGAAAACTCATCAAGGACGGAAAGGCCACCATCCCGTACATTGTTGAGGGTGCAAACCTGTTCATTACACAAGACAGCAAGCTTCGCCTTGAGAGGGCTGGTTGCATCCTGTTCAAGGATGCATCTGCCAACAAGGGAGGTGTAACATCCTCCTCATTGGAGGTCCTGGCTTCCCTGTCTTTCGATGACGAAGAGTTTGTGGAGAACATGTGCATCCGCGAGGATGGTACCGTGCCCACATTCTACAGTGAATATGTCAAGCAGGTGCAGGAGGTCATCAAGTCGAACGCTACTCTCGAGTTTGAAGCTATTTGGCGCGAACATGAGCAGACAGGATTGCTTCGTAGCGTCCTGAGCGACCGTCTCAGTGTTGCCATCACTCAATTGGATGAAGAACTCCAGAAGACAGAGTTGTGGGACAATATTGAGCTTCGCCGCTCCGTCCTCCACGATGCTCTGCCGAACCTCCTTCTGCAGAAGATTGGTCTCGACACCATCCTTCAGCGGGTGAGTATCACTTAAAACCCAACATAGTTCATCAACGTGATGCTGACCATCTAATAGGTGCCCGAGAACTATCTGAGAGCCATCTTTGGCAGCTACCTTGCTAGCCGTTTCGTGTATGAGTATGGTAGCAGCCCGAGCCAGTTCTCCTTCTTTGACTTGTAAGTCGTTCATTCCCCTTCAGAACATTTGATGCACATTTCTAATGATAACTACAGCATGACCAAGCGTATTGCGCAGCTCAACGCGAAACACGACTCTTAGACGGATATACCTGTTTTCTTTATGATTGTGTTTGTTTGGTGATATGCATTTTCCGGGAAATACATACCTACTGCTCATCAGCAGTGTTACGGATGTTCTAATTGTGACGATGTCCATTGCATGGGATACAAAAAAGACATGAATAATACAGACCTAATACATCATCTTCGTTTACTTTCCTTTTGCATTTAAGTAGATTGCTCTGTTTATTCAACTTGAATACACCCCCAGAATAGTCAGGTTGAAACTAACTGCTGCCACACTTGCAAAAATACACCTCTCGTAACTGTTGGACTTTTTGAGACATACCTACAGGACACAGCCAAACAAGTTCCTACCCACATCCCCTTTAATCTGTCTTGTAGCATAAAAGACTACAAGCGTAGTTACCATTGATAGATGGAAATGATAAAGTAAACATGAATGATATGTAATGCTGCAGGCTCAGACAATGAATGCTACATGAAAATTGAAATAGAGTACAGATGTCACAGGCCTAAATTACACGCAAGTAGTGACTAGACGACCACCTCATTGTCCTTGATGTTAAACTTCGGCCCTTCTTCATACTCGGTCCGCTCGATCTGTTCCAACTGCGCCCACAGATCGGGGTATTTATCCTTGGCCCACTTCTCAACCTCATCCTTCCAGTACTGATACGGGATGGCGTTGTAGAGTAATCCGATCCTGTAGTTTCGTATAAGTTAGTACAAGTGGTCAGACCTAATTCGGGGTTTTCACTGGTAGATGGGGAAGATGTGGAACGTACGAGTTGCGAGTCGGCAGGTATCCAGTCTCAGCCTGCATCTTATCCAGCGCTTCAGTGGCAAGATCAAACTCGCACTGTGCGGCCAAGGCCTCGACGTATGCCATGTACAGTTGGCGATCGACGGTGATTTCGAGACGCTTGACCTTACTCATCATTCGCATGGCCTCCTGGATTCCGTTGTGGTGTTTTTCGCATGTCTTGAAGAAGATGGTGATGGTTTTATGGGATGGGCCTTCGTCCGATTGCAGGATGTCGCGGAATACGTCCAGCGCTTTTTCGGGCATATCGCAGGCGGCGTATGCCAGCATGAGGCCGTTTAGGAGGCGCGTATTGAGGTCGACTTCCACGTCGAGCTTGAGCATGTTGTGGACCAATTCGAGGTTCTTGGCGTCTTGGGTTCGCGCGAGGCCTTGGAAACACCGCGCGTAGGTGTCGGGTTTGGGTCGTCGTGCGAAGTCTTCTGCTTGTCGCATGTGTCCGAAGACCAGGAAGGCTAGGTCGCTACGGTCTCGCTTGAAGAATGAGGTCATGATCTCGGTTCTCAGGCTGACGCCGGATTCAGGGAACGCGAGCTGGAGTAGTCTGTACATTTCCCAGGCATCATCGGTTTCCTGGGTCAGATCGGTGATGAAGTTGGTGAGGGTATTGCGGACTTTGGTTCTTTCTTCGGAGTCGTAGAGCCCGAGACGTGGACGAAGGAGCTCGGAGACGGCCTCCCACTCACGACGGTACAATAGCATGTGCGTCAGCGCAGCCAGAGTGTCTGCTTCCAACCGGACGTTGTTCTCGAACAACGGATCGGTGAGAGAGCCCACTTTCTCCACCACGGCATCCTCCTGACTTGAGTAGCAAAGGACGGTGATCAGCTTGTTCATCAATGGCAAGTTCTCGAGCATGATGGTCTCTGGGTTGTGCAGATCTTCCATGGAGCTCAGTGCAGTCTTCACATCCCCAGCTTGAATGTACGCTTCCAGTCGCAGTAGGTACGTTTGCAAGTCCGGCTCCAGGCCCCACTGGGAGGCGAGAGAAGCGAACTCTACGGTCAATTCAGGATTCTTGATAGAGTTGGCGTATTCCATCAGATCGTTCACGCATGTGATGGTGAGTGATTCGCTGGCCTCTTGGTTCCCGGCGGTCAGAATTCTGGCCTTCTCCTGGACGGCCGCAGCACTCTTAGTTTGAACAGCTTCCCAGAGAAGCGTGATATTGATGGTCTCCGAAATCGGTGCGTGCGAAAGCGACTCGAAGATAGAGCTTGCCCAATCTGTCTCGGCCTTCAGGATTGCGTAGCGGATGACAGCTTCCTTCGCGGGAACGGAGGGTTCTTCTCCGGAAAGCGAGAGACTCTCGTAGACCATTTTCAATGCCGCTAGCAGGTCCTGTTCAACGAGGATGCTGACCAGCTCTTCATGGGCATGCTGATCAAACATAATGCCGTGCTCGTTCAGCTTTTCCGTGGTGCGTCTGAGCTGGTTTCTGTCGTTGATAATGGCATATCCTTTCATGACTGTGAGCCAAGGGGAGGGACTGGTCTTGCTCAGTCGGTTCCAGAAGTTCTCGACTACATGCCGCGCCTCATCTGGGTTACCAAGCATTGCCTGGATATGAATGTAAGATAGAAGCGCAGGACGGCTGACGTGATTGTTCCCAAATCCATGGTCCGCACAAAGCTCCAAGAAAGCTAGACGGGCCATCTTTCGCACGGTTTCGTGCGCCTCTGGCAAACATTTTGCCTCCGACAGGACGTAGAGGAGATTCTCGAGATTCTCGGTGGAAAAGACCTTTTGCCATTCCATGCGTTCCAGTTCCCCCTCGCGGGCTCTGAGGTACTTCCAGGTAGTAACAAGCAGCTTCGCATGGTAGTTCGTAATGATTCCAGGAGTTTCCGCGCGTGCAACGACAAAGTCCTGGAAAGCTTTGGCCAGAATTCCATTGGCGGGGCCTCTGCTCTGGTCACTTAGTGATCTCAGCAAGTCTCGCATTGGCTTCAATCCAGTTTCAGAGGGCAGAATCGCAGGTTGAGGTTCGGCAGTTGGAGCCGCAAAAGCGAAAAGCCCGCGTCGCTGGGCATGGTATGGACAGAGAGGACCTAGCTTGCGGGATCGATGGCTACGAGCAGTATGCAGGAGGCGATAGTGACAGCGTGATGATGAAAGAGGCTCATTATTCAAGATGGCCCGAAAGACCCTTCTAGTCAGGTGGGACTGCATGTTGATCAAGACGTGTCGATGCGAGGAGCTCCCTGGTGAAGGGAATTCGAGTATTTCGTTTCTTGTCTAGTTCCCTTTTTCAGCAGAGACGTATGAAGTATAAGACAATTGTTTGCCAGACACCATGAAGCACGGTCTATGCACGATGTCAAGGGATGCAGAGACCGATTGGAGAATCAGGCCAATTGACGCAATGGCACCGAGGTGTGTTTCCTTGGATCGAGAGGTGGGAATGAAATGGAGGAGACGGAGTTGCGGGCGGAAGTTCCAGGCGGCTCTTGGCGCGTGCCGAAAAAAGAAAATCGATCGCATCGTCGGCCAGCTTCATCACCCCCGATCTTTTCTCTCCGGATTGTCATTCTCCCTCCCCCACTCCTTGGCCATCTCACTGTCCCAGTATGGCTCTTCATCTCTTTTCGTGGTCGCCTTTGCGCACCGTTGGCTCGGCCTTTGGGTCGGTGTCTGCTGCTGCTAGTGTTGCTTGTCGCTGGAATTCGACGGCTGCTGCTCCGAATCCCGCTCCTCAGCGTGGTCCCAGATCTCGGTGTAGGTGATACTACTATTCAGTCCCAATCTCTACCCGCTTTTATCACGATCTCATCCCTTTCAATTGTTCCTTTGCTAATCGTTGGCTTCGACACAGCTCCCAAAGTGTACAACCGCCGTCGTGGGCCAGTGGACCGCCGCCGATTTCTCGAGGAGCAGCGGGCTCAGAGTGAGAGCAGGGCCTTGGAGAGGTACCAGACGCGTGAATGGAAAGCCGGTGATCTCTATGCCCCTCATGATCTCAGCCCGGCAGAGATGAAGAAATGGAGGAAGCGCTACAGTCCCTCGACTGATGCCTTTGACGCACTGAACCTGAACCCTCTGGATTTGTATAAGGTATGCCGACGCATTCTGAGCCCTTGAAAAAGAAAAAAGAGCATTGGTTCTTTCTAGAGATTATTGCGGATTGCTGACATTTGATGCACCACAGAACTTCTCTGTCATGTCGGAATATATCACCTCGATGGGTCGGATAAAGCACAGAAACATGACGGGTCTGCGGCCCGTTAACCAGCGCAAGATCTCCAAGGCCATTCGGAGAGCTGTTGGACTTGGTCTCATGCCCAGTGTTCACCGACACCCGGAAGTTTTGGCGGCCGAAGCAAGGTCGCGGATGGAGGGAGGAAGTGGTTACTGAGTAGAGTTCCTCTGTATAACATGGGTGTAGGGTCACGGACTGGACTCGGGTTGCTTTCGATATGATACTTCATCTTCATTCTCAGCTTTTGAATTTCTTGGTGTTTTTCTTTTCTCTGTTCTTCTATTGCTAGCCAGACAGCCTTGACGGGATGGCCTATGTACAACTACGACTATTACCATCATTATCCTCATTTCAATCCAACCAATACTATATGACATTGCGCAATGACCGGGACCGAAGGGGAATTTCAGGCAGCAATCTAGACTGAACTGAATGAGCATTAATGCCTCTGATAAGACGATACCAGTAGTTATATAAGTACCTGCCCGGTCAACCCACGGCAGCATCCGCGGCCCATGTGTTTCGGCGGCAACCCCCACCCATACGTCAACAACCTAAACATCGCCGTGCTTCTCCCCTTCCCCTGTTTCCCTCACCCAACATCTCTAGCTTTGGTTGATTCTACTTGTGTCTTTATTTAGCGACGGACATTGCATGTAAATACAACCATGTCTATCACGAATGGTCCGTTCCTACCTACTGCCCGATTGATTATCATTCATTGCTAACAGGCCACCTAGAATCCATCTGGGCTGCCAGCCCCTCCACCACCAGGGGTCAGCCCACCCAGCTTTCTGCGGACGCCAAGGGCGAACGGATCGCATATGCGGTATGGCATTGATACTTTTCTAGAACTCATGCACATATAAAGCTTCTTCCGATGCTTACTGTCCCTTTTTTTTTTTTTTTTGTAATGTTCAGGCAAACAAATCGGTTTTCCTCCGCTCGATTGACAACCCCGCCATCGCCAGGCAGTACACCGAACATAAGACGCAGACCACTGTTGCCCGCTTCTCACCCTCGGGCTTCTATGTTGCCAGTGGTGATGCTAGTGGTATAGTGAGAGTCTGGGACTGTGTTGGAGAGGGTATCACCAAAGGTGAATACAGCATTGTGAATGGTCGGATCAATGATCTTGCCTGGGATGGCGATTCCCAGCGCATCATTGCTGTCGGTGACGGAAAGCAGCGGTACGGTCACTGCATTTCTTGGGACAGTGGTAACACTGTCGGCGAGATCTATGGTCACACGCAACAGATCAATTCCGTCTCGATCAGGCAGCAAAGGCCGTTGCGGGCCGCTGCCGCGGGTGATGACAAGAATCTAGTCTTCTACCACGGCGCACCATTCAAATTCAACACCGGAATCCGTGACAAGCATACCAACTACATCTATGGAGTCGGCTTCAGCCCGGATGGCTCGACATTGGTCAGTGTTGGCGCGGACCGCAAGATCTGGCTGTACGATGGCAAGACGGGAGAAGTCAGAGGCCAGATTGGCGAAGGAGAGCACAACGGCAGTATTTTCGGCCTTTCTTGGTCTAAAGACTCGCGGAAATTTGCCACAGCCAGCGCAGATAAGACTGTTAAGATTTGGGATGTGGAAGCGGGCAAGGTTACCCAGAGTTGGAACATGGGAGAGGAAGGGGCTGCAAATGTCAAGGACCAGCAGGTCGGAGTGGTCTGGCCTCAGGGAAGAAGCGATGGTCTGCTGATCAGTCTTTCGTTGAGCGGCGACCTTAACTACCTAGTTGAAGGCACCCCGAAGCCCAGACAGGTCGTCCAGGGACACCAGAAGAATATCACGTCCTTGACCCAGTCTCGCTCTGGCAGCGATGCTGAGACCTTGTGGACTGGAAGCTTTGACGGCCGGGTCTGCAGCTGGGATGTTCCCACGGGGGCCGCAGAAGAAATGGAAGGCGACAGCCACACAACCTACATCGCAGGTCTCGCGCCTACACAGGAAGGCAATGGTCGGATCTACAGCGTCGCCTGGGACGACACCATTCGCTCCGTGGATATTGGTGCTAAGACTTATACCGGAATCTCTTCTAAGCTGTCGGGACAGCCTAAGGGCGTTGCAGCCGCAAATGACTTGGTGTTAGTGGGAGTGTCGGAGAGCGTGGAGATCTACAAGGACGGACAGAAGACTGGCGACTTCAAGCCTGACTTCCCAGTCACTGCAGTTGCGGCCCACGGCAACGTTGCAGCTATCGGAGGTGAAAACGCGACCGTCCAGATCTTGGATATCGCGGCCTCGAGCCTTTCCCCCAAGGCTACCATCAAGGCCACGCGGAATGCGGTGTCTGCCTTGTCTTTCTCCCCCGACGGATCTCTCTTGGCTGTGGGCGACTCTCGGGGCCGCATCCTTGTTTACAAGGTCGCAGACGGTAGCCTTGTTACGGATCGTTGGACGGCGCACACTTCTCGAATTACTTCACTTGCCTGGAACGACGACAATGACCACCTGACCAGCGGATCATTGGACACCAACATCTTTGTCTGGAGTTTGTCCAAGCCCGGCGACTGGCTTCAGGTGTCTAACGCTCACAAAGAAGGCGTGAATGGTGTTGCCTGGATCGCCGGAGGATCTAAGATTGCCTCAGCTGGTGCTGATGCGGCAGTTAAGGTATGGAAAGTGGAAGGTCTCAATTAGAGAGATGGTGTCGACTTATAGAGAATATGCCAAGTGTATAGTGAACGTTTGAGGTTTTGGCTGGTCCACAATATATTTTGCTTTTTCCTGGCTTTGGCTTTCTGAGTTTGAAGTCATTGTTCGCATATTATCAGGTTGTAGAGAGCCATCTCATAGTGTAGTAGAAAGCGGGCTGGGATGACGCGGGCGTGACCCGTGCGTGAGTCTCGTCGCAATGCCCGCTCGCATTGGTCACCGGACCTCCCAAGCTCTCCACCGGCGCACAAGATCATGGTGGAACAAGGCCTTGTTCCTGTTCCTGTTCCAGTGTCGCCAGTTCCGGCAGTCTCTTCTATACGCTCGAGTGGAAACTGGGAAGGGAAAATGAGGTAAACAGATCATGTCTCTGCCGGGCGACTCATCGAGCAGCGGTGCCCGGCGCTTTCTGCGCCCGAAGAAGGTAAGCTGCATAGCTAGCTATCTCCAACCACTACCTAGCTAGCATTACTATCTAGCTAGCTAGGTTGCTTGGCCTAGACTTCTTCCCCTTGCCTCAACCTCTACGGGTTAACGGTGCATCCCCGACCCTGCCAAAAAATCGCCTGTCAGCACGGAGAAAAGAAGCAGCTTATGTCGCGTTGCTGATCCATATTGCTTTTCTCAGTTACGCTACGCAACCTTCGTCTTACCGAGAACGGGCCAGCGACTCAAGGGCCTCATTAATCTACGAAACCCATATCCTGACCCACATGGGGATAGCGACAACGATGAACGACGGCCACTTCTCCCCAGAAATGTCATCGAGTGCCCCAAGAGCCTCCCAGCACGGCTCTGGTATGGACTTCAACATACATGGCCATGGATGCATGAGTTCGTTTCGTCGGAGCTAGGAATCGGCGTTCTGAAGTGCAGTCTAGCTTACTTGCTTGGATCACTCGCAACCTTTGTCCCGGCCATTGCGTCGTTCCTGGGCCATCAAGATGGCAAACATATGGTTGCTACCGTCACGGTCTACTTTCATCCAGCGAGATCGCAGGGCGGCATGTACAAGGCTTTGATTTGTGCCTTTCTTGCCTTCCTTTATGCTGCCTTCATCTCTCTCACCAGCATGTGTGTCTCAATGTTCTTTCAGGACACTTTACATATGCTCCCCGTGGGACATGCCGTCGTGCTCATTGTATTCTGCGGCGGCGGGCTAGGCTTCATTGGTTGGACAAAACAGAGACTCGGCGATCCGCTTGTTAACGTCGCATGCTCCCTAGCTTCATTGTCGACCATAACTGTCTTAACTAAGGAGGGTGCAGTACAAAGCGGGGATCTATCGTTTGCGAAGATCTCTCAGGTTCTGAAAATGGTCGTGATGGGTGTCACCATCACAATGGCCGTGTCTTTTCTGATCTTCCCCATATCCGCACGCAAAAAGCTCCGATCCAACTTGACTACTGTCACTGGAAGCTTGGCGACAATGTTGGCTCTGATCACTGAAAGCTTCCTCAGTGGCTCCGAAGAGGAACTCCAGACTGAAGAGTTCACCAACACGGCTGCGCGCCATAAAAAAGCATATGCGCAGCTAGACAAGCTTGTAAGGGAGGCGAAGCTTGAGCATTTTGTGGCAGGCACGGAAAAAGAGTACCGATTGGAGAAGAAGTTAGTTCGTTGGGTGCAGGACATCACTCATAATATGGGTGGTTTACGCAGTGCAGCCCACCTGCAGTTCCAGTTGCTCAAACCAACGGAGCTCGCACAGCTACAGGGTCACACCCCCGAAACCGGCTCTATGCCTTTGATAAGTCCGTGGTCACTCCATGAAGATGGGCCGTTCCTGGAACGAATCGATGAGCAACCAGACGAAGAAGACAGACTTGGGGCTGCTGATATGAACAACACCAATGGTAACCCAACGAATCCTCTGCATCCGGCAGATATTTTTGCTCTCTTTATCAGCCATTTAGGGCCTTCTATGGTAAGCTATCATATCAATAGGTGAAGCGGAGATCAGTGAATGCTAATAGTCCACAGCGCTCGCTTGCGTTTACCCTAAAAGAAATATTCAGAGACATCCCGTTCACTCCCGCGCCTGAATTTAGAGTTTCCGTCAACAGTCGCTACCGGACAAGTCTAGATCGTGCGCTTGAGCTCTATAGACAGTCGCGCGAAGAAGCGCTCAAGACCATCTATAGACAACGCGAGCTCACCGGGGTACAAGAGCTAGAAGTCGAAGCTGATTTAGAAGAGGTTTCTGCAAGCTGTGGACACTTCAGTTTCTCTTTGCTGGAGTTTGGGGAGCAATTAAAAGAGCTTTTAGATATATTGGATGAACTACAACTGGAAAGTGAGGAAAGACCGACAGGGAGATCTTGGAGCTGGCTTAAGTTTTGGCGATGGGGTGGCCCTGGAACGAGGAAGAATGACATGGAGCAGTCGTTGGCTCCAACGGCTGATGACACAGGCGCAGCACCTCGGCGGCATATGACCAGCTCACCGGAGTCATCTGTTAGCCCTTCACCGGCCAAGATCGAGAGAGTTACATCTGCCGCCGAGAAGCGTCTCGGCTATCGCATATGGAGGTCGCTGGGGTTCTTCCGCCGCGACGATACCAAATTCGCGATCAAAGTCGGAGCAGGCGCTGCACTATATGCCTTGCCATCATTCCTCCAATCTACTCGGCCCTTCTATTCCCATTGGCGAGGTGAATGGGGGCTCTTGTCCTACATGTTGGTCTGTTCCATGACGATTGGTGCTTCCAATACTACGGGGTATGCACGGTTCTTTGGTACATGCCTGGGGGCACTGTGTGCCATCCTTTCATGGTACGTGAGTGCAGAAAACGTGTTCGCTCTCGCTTTCCTGGGGTTGCTCATGGCCACTTGGAACTTCTACCTCATCATTGTCCGCGGCCAAGGTCCAATGGGCCGGTTTATCATGCTCACCTACAACCTCTCAGTGCTATACGCCTACTCACTTACCCAGAAGGAAGGCAGGGACGACCAAGATGAAGGGGGCGATAGCCCAATCATTACTGAAATCGCCCTTCACCGAGTGGCGGCGGTTTTGTCAGGCTGCGTGTGGGGTATCATCATCACGCGAGTCATATGGCCGATCAGCGCCCGGGAAAGGTTGAAAGAGGGCCTGAGCCTGTTATGGCTACGGATGAGTCTGATCTGGAAGCGCGGTCCTTTGTCCACCATGGCCTTCCCCCAAGAGACTGCAGGCTTCATGAGCGCTCGGGAGAAGTTGGAGGTGGAGCGGTTCCTGTCGCATCTGGAGTCCCTCCAAGCCTCTGCGCGATCTGAGTTTGAGTTGAAAAGCGCCTTCCAGGATGCCAGCTATGGCAATATTTTGCGGCGCACCCGAAGCCTGGTGGATGCATTTGTCGCCATCAACCTGGAGTTGGTCAAGAATATGACCGCATCGGAAGGGGAACTCGCTATACTTCAGTATACGGTAAAAGAAAGGCAGCAATTATCCTCCCGCATTAGCCATCTGCTATCTGGTAAGTCTCACGAATGTAGCCATTAATTATTGGTAATTGACGATTGAGATAGTCATGGCCTCCTCGATGAAGCTGGAGTATCCATTGAGCGACGTCCTCCCCAGCGTGGAGCATGCTCGAGATCGGCTCCTCGCACGGCTCTTTCATTATCGCAAGGACATTGAAACGTCACGGCTATCAACGGACGAAGACTATGCCCTACTTTACGCTTATAGTATGTTACGGAGCCCTTATTTTTCGTTGGAATAATGAAAGGAAACATGGCTGACTCTAGACGCGATTACAGTACTGGTGACGGGGCAAATTTCGGTGGAGATTGAAGCAATCATGGGTGAGATCAGCCGGCTCTTCGGAGTCCTACATGAGGATGCAGTGAAGCTGTATTCCTAGAGAGGAGATTTAATAGAGATTGATTCTGGTGTTTGTAAATCACTCCTTTATGGTGTATTTGCCTATGGTGATAACTCATAAAGAGACTAAGGCGGTGAGAGGTATAGAGAGAGAGTCGCGGTGGTTCATCTCTCCAAGTGCGCGCGGGGGATGCCGTAGAAAAGCAGATTGCCCTTGTCAAGTAAAAGAAGTCACAAAGTAAATAAACGACGACAATAAATAATAATAAATTCAAAAGTCCAGTCTGTGGGCAAGCAAAATTACCACCGGGTGACCTCTTTTGAGTGCAAGTGGATGGACGGCGGGATTCAATCCAATCCATCTTCCCCAGACTTACCCAACGTCCACTTAACTAACCACCTCGAACTTCCTCATCCGTCTGGCCTGCCTTTGCCCTCCCTTCTCCTTCCACCTCCCCCCCTCCCCCCTCCATCGCCCATCGATCCGCTTGTCACTGTCTCTCCATCTGGCGTGTCGACCACTCCGTCTGACACGCTTTACTCCGATCGTTTTCGCCTCCTGTTTCCTGGATCTGGTATGACTCGCGCTTCATGAAGGCGTAGTTCTCCCCACCCCCGGCTTCGCGCAGCCCGTCGCGCTTCGGCGAGCCCTCGCAAACCATGCAGATCGATCCGGCTGCTCTGAGTCGGACAGACTCGGCCTCTACTACAATAGCCTCGTCCAAAAGCACTGCTCCAAATGCTCCGCCAACGCAGAAGTCTACCAAAGCCCTCATTTCCGTGCCGCGCCTGGACCTCGAGCCCATCTACACCGAGCTGAAGGCCGCCATCGGTGACAATTGGGCCGACTACAAAGAAGCTACCTCGCTCTTTCTTCTAGGTATGTCTGTGCATTGTCACGTCTATCCCACTCTCTTTTTGCGCGAGAGTCTATCTATACTGTTGTTCTCGACATTCCTGTCTCCTCTTATCTTCTTATAAGCCTCGGTCCCACTTTTACCCTGAATGCGTATGCTGACGCCGCCCTTCTCTCCCAACGAACAGGACAACTGAACCAGAGCGAATTGTCGTCGCGAGTCGATCATATAATATGCGCCGATCAAAAAACTGAGCATCTACATAACAATTTCGTATGCGCGATTATCGGCAATCTTACAAGGGATCTTCCAGATCATGGTGTCGCAAGTTGGGTGTCGGCAAACGACAAGCCGTCCGTCGTGTCAAAGCCGACATCGGGCGATGCCGCTGAACAAAGACTCAAGACGGAGGTTATGCAACTCCCTCCCCGGGATCGTCGACGAATCAAAGCTATCCCCGAGGTATGCGACCTGATCCAGAGATGCGACAGCTTCCCCCCCTGATATGTGCGCGTACAAGGCTGACGGTGGATCTATACAAAGCGTGACCCCCATGAACTCGCACCCAACGAACTGGAGGAATATCATTTGGCGAAACAGATCAAGTTGCCAAGTCAAGTACCAGCCAGTGCGGGCGGGTTGAATAAGACAAGTAGGTTCATGCCTGGCATCTCGGCTTTTTTTTTTTTTTTTTTTTTTCTCCTTTTGCTCGACCGAGTGTCGCTAACCATTCTGGTTCCTGGAAGACTGGGAACTCGAAATTCGAAAACGATATGCACAGCCTCTGGCGTCAGAGTCCGGCGAATTCCCGGACGCCGAATCTATCCACGCACGTATGGTTCCCATTTGCTACGAGGAATCAATCGTCAGCGGCGCAAGCCTTCCCTGTGCCGAGTTCATGGCGATCGCAACGGAGACTTTTGTCAAGGAAGTTCTATCCGTGGTATTCTCGCGGACGAGATCGAACGGCCCTTCAGGCACAATCAACGGCATGATGATGCGCAAGTACCGACAGCAGCTCGAAAGTGAGGAACTGGCATTCACACGAGGAGAGATCGTCAAGGATAGCGCGACCGGTCTTCTCCCAGTTGAGGCCAAGGAGGCAAGCACCCGAAAACCCTTGGGCGTGCGAGATCTCCGATTATCCCTGGAACTCGGCGGAGGTGTCCTGAGTCATATGCCTCTACTCGTGGATCAGATCATGGGTGGGTATCTCGAGGATGAGTTAGAAACAGACAAGCAAGACCGGGTCGAGGAGGTGATCGATGTCCCCGACACAAAGCCCGACAGTTACATGGACGAAATGGACGTGGATGAGGCGGAGCTCGACTGGGAAGGTGGGACAGTCACGGATCGGGAGCAATTGGGTGCCCTTCTGGATGAGTGTCTGTCAATGGCCTCGTGAGAGAAGTCATTCTCCGCTCCTCTCCAGCCCTGGCTGGCCTCTCTTTTCTACAAAATATCTTTCTGTCCTTCTGTCTTTTCCTTCCCCCTTCACTGTTACCCCGGTTTCTTGCTTATTTGATCCAAACAGGATCAAACACCGCATCATCCCGGTCTCGCAGAGGAGGTGAAACAGGCGTCTTGGGAGTCATCGGGGGAAAGCCATTATCGTCAATTTTTGCATCTGGCGCGGAGTTCGAAGAGTATCGATTTTCTCTTTTCTTCTTCTTATCTTATACCTCTTTTCTCTCTCTTTTGAAACTTCCTCTTTGTTTCCTACTGTCCGAGTTATCTCACCCTCTATCTCTCCTTTCTCCCCCCCCTCACCTCTTTCTTATTTTTTCACCCTCGAGCTGTCACAACCATACCGGACACAGTCAAGTTTCGTTTTCGGTCGTGGTCCAATGCGGACACTTTGTACCCTCGGTACGAATCCCTTGACGTGCTGGATTATTATTCGTCTGCAACCAGGAATTATATCCGCCCGTGGAAGAGAACCAGGAAAAGGACAAGGGTACCATACCTATCTTAACCTCCCAAGCAACATGCGCTGGACATATCTGCAGATGTGCATGGCCCCACCGTCATCTCGACTAGAGGAAGACGTTACTTATAGCCCGAACTCGGGCATCTGTCGGGATGAACAGTTTGTTCGCCCGCTCTTTACTATCTATATACCTGGGGGGAAATGAAGGATTTACATGCTTGTTGGCGCAAACTGGTGGTGAATAACGATAAGGAAGAAGAATCGTGTTGTGTGTTTCTTGTTTACTGTACATTATCCTGTCTTCCATTCTTGGCTTGCATATGCTTGCTGGAAACCGTTTTACCGGCTGATCATGATAGAGAGAAAGAGAGACCTCATGAGACTGACTTCTATAAGAGAATTGTCTCAGCAACCCCGCCACGCGCAGGACCAATTGGTTGTATGGTTGGTTTGATCTGCAACTGCACCACTCTTAATGCAAGGCTAAGGCCGATATTGACCTGTATGCAATTTCCAGAGGTTCCTCCTTATAGTTATAATTGTTTTGTAAAGATATAGCCAAACCAACCAAGCGGAGAGCGGTTGGCTGGTGAACCACTGTTTCACTTCGCCTGAACGCCAACGTATCTTCCAAGGCAATGAACTGGATATCGTAAGGAAAGATGAACACGCGAGGTCGAGAAGGCAAAGCCTCGTCATGACATCAATTAGGTCAGACGGTCTGCGACCATCTTCAAGATTTCTTCTGTCGACTTGAGCGCGTTGGCGGGGTCTTTGGCTACGGATTGCCAGACTTCTCCGTGCTTGGGCTCGGTCGAAATACACTTGGATATTACATCGGCGCGTTTTTCCTGGGGATGATCGTTAATCACGTACACACTGAAGGGACTATACTTTTCAATCATAAATGCAAGACATACCTCTGTGCCATGCTGCAACAAGAACTTGTAGTACCAAGCCCATGCGTCGCCCATATCACTGTCCGAGACAATGGCTTTCTCGAACCAGGTGAGTGCTTTTTCCAGTCGGCGCTCACCCCAAAAGATCCGCGCGACGGTAATAAAGAGAATTGGATCGTTGTCGGCCTTCTTGATCGCTTCCAGACTCCGAGCTTTCCGTTGCGCGCGCGGCTCCAGGTACCAAATGCTTTCACTCCATAGTAACCCAGAGGTAGGGACTTCTTGCAATGCCTTGGCCATTAGAACCTTGGCCTGGGCAATGTTGTTTGCTCGGCGCTCAACGCGCACACTTTCGGTCCAAAGCTCTGGACTCTTGGGGACCGCAAGGCGAGCACGGTCAAGTACTGAACGAGCCTTGACGACCGCACCGGCCTTTTCTTCCAGTCTTGAGGCCAAGAGCCAGAGTGGAATGGACTTGTTGCAGGCTCTGGTTCCGGTTCCGTAAGCTTCCCGAGCCTGTGGGTATTTGTTTTGGGCTTCGTAGATCTGCCCCTTCATCATCCAAAGTTTGTCCGCCTTGGGATAGATTTGGAGACCTTGGTTCACCAGATCGAGCGCTTCATCGATGTTGCCGAGCTGTCGCTCGAACGCGACGCTCTTTATCCAAACGCGGTCCGTACCCGCTTCGCGTCGAGCAGTTGCAAGAAGTTCTCTGGCTTCGGATGTTTGGTTGGCATCGGCCTCCAGCTTGACAGCAGCCAACCAGATATCCTCGTTGTTGGGATTTTGGTTGAAGGCACGGCCGAGCACTCTCCGGGCATCGTCGATCTCGCCAGACTGCCATTTTTCTTTGGCCAGCTGCAGCCATAGTTCCTCACTCTGTGGGCATGCCTCAACGGCCTTTTCAAGGACTTGCCACAGCGCTTCTTTACTACCATGGTTGCGCTCCAGTTCAGCTGCCGCAATCCAGATTGAACGACGGTTGACGAAAACACGTAGCGCGTAGGCGTAGATAGCCCTGGCTGTCTCGTACTTCCCCCTGGCAATACTGGCCTTTGCATCATCCATCCAGATGTCTTTGCGATCGTCATCCTCATCCAGGCCCCATCCGAGTGTTTCGCGAATGATGGCGCCACAGGTGAGGATAGCACCCTCTTCTTCGCACTTCTCTGCCTCCGCTATCCACTCTTCCCGTTTGAGCATGGCGTTTTCTCTCGCGAGGGATTGGACAGCTCTCTTCATCACGTTTACCTTCTCGAAGGTACCCATCTGTTCCTGCAGGCGGGCAGCAGCGACCCAGACTTCGTGGCTGGTGGGAACCGCTTTACGGGCGGCATTGAGAACCTTCTGGGCATTCTCCGGTGTCTCCAGACGAGCCAGGGCTAGCCAGAGCTCGACAGAAAGTGGGATCATCTCGACTGCCTTCGCCAGAAGCAGACGTGCATCGGCAGGGTCATCCTCAAGGTTGACGGCTTCTTTCCATATCGTCACAGACTGAGGTATGTGAAGAATCGCCTGTCTAAGAACGTTCTTCTTCGCGCGAGGCTCAGTCTCCAATCGCATGGCTTCGATCCAGAGTCTTGTAGAACGGTCATTGTTCTTAATGGCGTTAGCTGCAATCACCTTGGCATTGTGGCCCTCGTTAAGGCGAATGTTTTCAAGCCAGGCATCTTCGCTTTTCGGGCACAATTCGCAACCCTTGGCGATTACATTCCTGGCGGTCACAATTTTACCGGCTAATTCTTCTAGACGCGCCAGCGCGATCCACCCCGGCGCATGCTTAGGATTCGTTTTCGTTACAGATTCCAACAGAACGCGGACCCGCTTAATGTCTCCGATTTCTACTTCTCCAGCTTTCAGCTCAGATTGCGTGAGACTTGTAAGGTAGCCCTTCGGGTCGATGTTGGTAGCGCTTCCAGAGGCAGAATCCCCAGATGATCCCATGGCGGCTTGGTCGAGCCTGACCTTCAGGACCTTATCACGCGCAGCACTGATGTCTGCGAAATTGGTGATTGTCCCATCAGCTGCCTCCGCTCCATTGGCTGCCGTCTGGGTCCCATCCTCCGCAATTGTTGTCTCAAACTGGGTCGAATCTCTTGCGCTCGCGATCACACTGTCCGGTACTGCGTAGAATCTCTGCCGAAGGTTCTGCTTTGCGCGTCGGTTTTTTCCGGTGAGATCTCCCACCTCCGGGAGGTTAGCCCACTCGTCCTCGGAGACCGAGGCTAAGGATCGTTTCAGATCTGCAAATTGCTGCTGGATCTTGGGGTTTTTGCGTTCGTAGTCTTCTCGTTCTTGCTGTTCGCGAGCTTCCCTGTGAATGGTGGAGGAATTACGTCGGTAATCTGTCCAAACAAACCGCATATGGAGAAGCGGATGAACAAATCGCTTCATAAAAATAGCAGAAGGGGAGGCAAAAGGGCGGAAAACTAACCTTCTCATCTTCCGGCGCTTGTCCATCTTTTCATCCACCTCTCTGTAGATGCGGTCCGCCTCGTCATCCTCTTGGTCGAATTGACCGTACGCGAATAGCCCGACTTCATTGTCCGGATCCTGAAACCGCTCGTCATCTTCCTCTTCGTCCGGCTTTTCATCTTTACCGCCCTTCTCTCGCCCTGCGCCATAAGCCGTGGGAGGAGCAGCTCCAAGCAGCTGGGCCCGTTTTGCCAGCGCCGCCTGGATCTGTTCTGGCGTGGGGCCTTCTCGCGCGGGTCCGAGATCTGAACGGGTGGTGAAGCCAGTGGCACCGCGACCAAGACCGGCGACGTAGTTCTCGGGAGCGGTTTGGCTCAAAAAGTCCTTACGCCCAGACGCCATGGCGAACGAGGTATACAGACCAAGGAACCGGGAGTGTGACTGAGGAAGAGCTGGGAAAGCTGTTCGCAAGAGCAATGCGGATGGCAAGAGCCCTCCGACGATGAGCGAAACGCCGGGCAGCCGCAGAAACGTAGTTCCGAGCCGCTAATCTTATCAGAAACCCTCCGCACTTTTTTTTGTTCGAGCCCAAAGACAGAGACAGAGAAGTGATAACCCGTTTAGGCTATACCTCTCCAAAAAGGTTGTCTCGTGAGGATTTGGACTGCTCATTTGGAGGCCTCGCGACTCAATCTGTCAGGATGCCTAAGGTCAAACAGCAGAAGCGCAATAGCGCTTCGAAGGCCAGTCCCTATGCCGATGCGGCGGCGAAGACGAAGGCCGCCAACACCGTCTTCAAAATGAATACCGATCTCGGTCAGCACATTCTGAAAAACCCTGGCGTGGCTCAACGAATTGTCGACAAAGCCGAGTTGAAACAGAGCGATGTAAGTTGCCCACATAGTTGTCCCATGTACTCTACGGATTTGTCTAACCTGGGTGGGGCTTTCTTGTATAGGTTGTTCTCGAAATTGGTCCTGGTACCGGTAACTTGACCGTGAAGATCCTCGAACAGGCAAAGAAAGTTATCGCCGTGGAGCTCGACCCTCGAATGGCTGCTGAAGTCACCAAGCGTGTTCAAGGCACACCTGCCCAGAAACGCTTAGACGTTATCCTTGGAGACGTGATCAAAACAGACCTTCCATATTTCGATGTTTGCATCAGCAACACGCCGTATCAGGTACGTTATATACTCTATCTATCTCTTCAAAGTGGAAGAAAGGCTAATTAGTTACCCGCTAGATCTCTTCTCCCCTCACATTCAAACTTCTCGCGACGTCTCCGGCGCCCCGCATTTGCGTTCTCATGTTTCAACGAGAGTTTGCTCTAAGATTGTTCGCTAAGCCAGGCGATAAGCTCTACAGTCGACTCTCCGTCAATGCTCAAATGTGGGCTAAGATCGACCACATTATGAAGGTGGGCAAGAACAATTTCAAGCCCCCTCCGCTGGTCGAGTCGAGCGTTGTCCGTCTGGTACCTAAAAACCCCAGGCCCCAAATCAACTATGATGAGTGGGACGGGCTTCTGAGAATCCTATTCGTCCGGAAGAACAAGACAATCCGGTCAAGTTTCCTTGGCAAGTCCACAGTCATGGATATGTTGGAAGCCAACTATCGGACATGGTGTGCGCAGAACGATATTCCAGTTGAGGATGGGCCGGCGGAAGGCGCTGAGTCTGATGCGATGGACATTGGCAACGCGCAAGACGAGGAAGATGATGAGGGTGAAGACGAGCCTGACGAGGGCATGGACGTGGACGATGAAGACGATGTACCCGACTTCTTCAAGGAACAGACGAACGCGCGTATTCAAGAGGCTCTTAAGAATCGGCCTAGTCGTAAGAAGAAGGGAAAGGTAGCAGAGCTCGTCCGGGAGAAGGTACGGCAGGTGTTGGAAGATGAAACACGCCTTGCCGACAAGCGTGCAAGGATGTGCGATGAAAACGACTTCCTGAAGTTATTGTGGGCCTTCAACCAGAAGGGCTTCCATTTCAGCTGAGGCTAGTAAGCCTGGGAATCGGGGATTACGTCTCCTTTTCGGAACGCCATATACTAATGAAACAGGTGATATTATTAATGACTCATGACTGTCGTCACTGCAGGTCATCCTCTGGAGTTCGTTCTCCAGCCGGACGAAGATGAGCCCTAGAGTCCTGGAAGAGACTTTGCCAGATGAATGCTTCGCTCAGCAAGAGTTCCACATCTTTATCCGTCCAATCCTTTGTGGGAAGTGCTTGCAGAAACATCATTATCTCCTATTGTCGTTTAGCATTGACTGTACGGTATCCAGAACCTTTAAAATTATACCCACCTGGAAATCCATCTTCACCAGCTGGTCTGACCATTTCACAAGGAAGGCTGCACAAACGTATAGGTGAAACCTCGAGAAACCCTGCTCCTCTGCCTAATGATATGGTCAGCATACCTGATCTACATCTGGCGCAATAGGGATAACCTTGGTTTGCCTCACCATATACGTGTCCCACATCCGTATAGTATTTTGTACACTCATCTCACGCATGAGAAGACAGTTCATCCACCGGAAACTGAACTGCATGAACTCTACACCCTCCTGCTCCAAGTGCTTGGCCAGTGTAGAATCAATGCGCATCGTCAAATCACGCAGTGCCCTAACTTGTCGGTGAATACCCGGTTGAGCATAGATATAATTGTCCTGAATGCCATCAAGTAACTTGGTAAGACACCAGAACGTATCTGCCTCCACGGCATCCAGCACACTCCTGGGCAACTGGCCAGGATCCATGCCCCTCTCAACATTTAGATCAGTTACATACGTGCCCAAGAAGACCTGCCAGAACGGTGTGACGAGGTCATTGATACCTTGCACGTATCCGCTCGCCGGGTGTCGAATAGCCCAAACATAGAGGATTTTTTCCAACGATCGTTGAGTAGCTTCGTAGCTGTAAAGTTGAATATGAGGGCTAGTCCGAGGAACATCAATGCTGATTTGATGCCATATTGCCTCATCCAGGCCCCTGCCACGCCCAGCGCTCGACGAAGGCGGATTTCCAGAACCAGCCGCACTCCCGCGTTCGAAGGCTTGTCGAACCCCGTCCAAATATTCCTTACGCTTTCTTTCGAGGGTAGAAATGCGCCTTTCACTATTCGTGGGGAGGTATCCAAGGAGCAGTTGCCAGGTCATCGCGCGAACTTCATCGGGGACCCCTGACCAGGCCAGATTCCTCAGGTCTGACAAGGGAACGGTGCTTGTCTGGAGAAGACGTTTGAACTTGTTTATTCTCGAAATGCGGCTGTTGTACATATCCAGCTCTTTGGGCGATGCATTTTTGGGAGGAGGCGCGTGGTTTATGAGGTTCAAGGCGTTGGCGGGGTCTGGAAAAACAGAGGTTAGTACGTCCCAGCGATATAACGAGGACAGATTCATACCTTTCAGGATTTCTTTATACTGAGGTCGCAGTATCTTACCCTCCCCAGTTCCAGCAGTAGGATACATAGGGACGCCGCGCTCTTCAGCGATGTCCGAACTATTGGCCCGTTGCCGATTGGTTCCCAAACCAACCCCTAGTGATGAGGCGGTACTAGCAAGCCCCCCACCTGGGTCAGCAGGCTTAAGCTGAGAAGTGCCAGCTCGCTGCGACTGTTTCTTCCGCATGCTGGTAATACTAGGGAGACCAAACTCGTCCTCATCGTCATCGTAGACAATGTCTTCCTCCCCCTCTTCATCTTCGTAATCTTCTCCCAATCGGTCGGGGCCCCAGGAATCGATCCCGCCATTCATTATGTCAGAGTAGGAAGTAGTATGAGGGGACGTAGACCACCCGCCCGACCGTAGGGGTGAAAGCGACATGTGTTGGATATTGGCAGAGGATGACCGAGGCGGTGTCCGCGGGCGCGCATGCTGCTGCGAGATCCCTCTATTGGGGGAGGCGCACAGGTCAATGAAATGAAAGAGCCAAGCGCGAAGAGAGGAGAAAACCAAATGTCATGCAATGTACTAACTTTAGTATGTCAGCGTGCGAGTATGAGGCACCAACAACCGTGTTCTGCTCATGTTGCGTCGAGGCCGCTTGATTATGAAATACCGATCTTCCCTTCCAGAACGGCGAATTCACCCGCCTTTCAGGGGAGGATTAGCGCGAGAAACTCAAAAATAGATGCTATGAGATGCCTTCAATAGCCCACAGGGAGAAATTGAGCGATGGGGAGTGAAACATACTCAGCACGGTCTGTTCATTGGAAGTGGGGGAGCTATATCAGCCACTGGATCTGGAACCCAAAAGACGGGGGGGTGTGAGAGGTACGAACCAACCTGGACCATCTCCTACAGAGAATTAAAAGCGATTGGGTTAGCTAGATATTGCATAAAAACTGAGAAAAATCGGGCTTATGGAGCTGAGATCAATACTCACCTGTTGGCCCTTCCTCGCAGCCATTGCGTTGCTAAGGAGTGCGGAGGCAACGATAGCATCAATTGAGCAGGTCTTGGGGATCGAATAACATGGAGAGAAGCACGGAAGCCGAGTGCGGGGAGGGTTGCGGCACGTGGATTCGGTGCTGCGTCCAAAGCTGGCAGGGGTTTCCCAACAACAACAACACCCCGAAGAACAACGTTGATCTGAATTGATCTACTTTTTTGGCTTACAGAGACCTCTCTGCGCGGGGGAAATCAGGGTAATTGTAATTGGTGTTGGTGGTCTGTCATGCCATAATACTTACTTAGTAGTCCTTCTGATGATGTTTTGCTGGTCGGGGGATAACACTCGATAAGGTCTTGCGTAAAGGTCTATTGACTACTGATACTAGCCCTTACGGACAATACCCACCTGGTAGCTTTCGTCAGGTACTGTGAGGAAGCAGTACCTCCCAGAATGGAGGGATCTTGGTAGAGTATATTGTCCGATATTAAGAAAGCAGATCTATATACTAGAGTCATGTATAGTCATTAATAATGAGTAGTTTTTAATTTTAAAAATTTCAACATGCATCAATTTACTCTTGCAGGTTGAATTATCATAATTTCATACCTACTACATTAGTACTTTTTAAGGTTCCTTACCGATGGCCAGATCCATTACAGTACAATACATATTATTACCGACGGGAATCTCTTACAGTACCAGCACAGCGTACTTGCCCAGTCAGCCAGTCCGTCACTCTTGACTCTCTCTTTCTCCTCGTCGCTCTCGCCTCAACCTCCGCCGTGTAGCTGCTTCTCCTCTCCTCTCCTCCACCTCTTTCTTCCTCCCTCCCTCTCTGCTCCTTGTCTCTACGACTAACCCACTTCACCCTTGCTCTTGTCGCTCTTCTTTTCCTTCTCTTTACTTAACTAGTTGTTTTTCTTACCATCTCCACCAAGGCTATATTTTGGCGATAATAGTTCGTCGCCATCGGTTCGTTGATACCTCTCTAGGTCGGATTTGACTGGCTCGGTTGCCTCCATCTCAGAGTTGGTCACCTTGATCACCTCTCTTTCCTCCTTCGTGCGACCTAATTCTTACCTGAATTTCTCTGTTACAAGATCACCATGGCTGAACCCGAGGACGTTGAGGAAGATCTTTTCGCGGATCTGTAGGGTGCTCCATTCTACCGGGATTGTCTAGGCAGTTTCTAAACTCTATGTTTTCTTTCTAGCTATGAAGCCGACGACAATACAAGCCATACCATACCCAGTACGGAAACTTCAAAATCTGTTGATCCTGTGCCCTCGGCTGCACCTATCAATCCCTCCCAAATCCCTATTCAGTCTGTTGAAACTGGCCCGATCGAATTTGAGACGGACACTTCATACCACCACCCGTATCAAGGAGTCCACCAGAACGGCACAGATCATGTAGGTACTGGACGTGCACATCATGCCATGTCTGGTGGTGGTGAGTCCGAGCCTCGAGGCACTGGTATTAAAGAAGACGGGTAAGTGCTACCTCTGTTAGAGACTTCGTGCTTTTTTTTTTCCTTGCTTGTACCTTGATTGCAATTGGACACGCGAGTGTTCATGCGCGATATAAATCGACCCCGTTTCACACCTATGCTGGGTTATTTTCTATCCTCTGGGGGCGGATGGCTCATGGTAGGTTGGGGATGCCGGTGATATTCGCACACGTACCGCCTTTCCTGCTGTGCACCGTGAACGTAACTAGTGAGTTGGGCGCTGGAAGCTGCGCGTCAAAAATCTTCAGCGGCTGGGCCAATGGTTCCTGGGGTGGGCTCTACTAAGATATACGGGCTTGGCGTCATGGGCAGAAGGATGAGGTTCTTAATCTAAGTCGAGGTCTTATCCGGTTGGGTCATCGTTGTTGCTAGATGGACGAATTCTCGGATAGCCTTGGACATGCAGCTTTCAGGCTCTTTCTTGGGTATGGATATCAAAATCACTCGGGCGAAGGCAAATCCACCTCGGCCGTGCTCGACTTGTTTATATCTCAGCAATCCACCGTCGGTATGACTTCCGCGGTGAGATTTACTTCGGTTTCCTGACACTGCGATCCCTTGTCGCGAGCGACTATAGTACAGCCGATACTATATAGCTTCTTGTCGATATAGCTTGATAGTGCACAGCAAGGAATAACAGCCTTGGCTGTCTGGTTGGGCAATGTCGATCAGATTACCTAGCTTCGGACATGATTAGACAGACAGGCAGAGGATCCTTGGTCCAGGGAAACAAGAACAAAAAGAAAAGAAAGTTGACTTAATCCGCCTGCCATGCTCCAACCCGTGGTGCTTGTGTCACTCACGCGCACTTCTTCTGTCGTGGGATACATCTCGCCTGGCCTTTTATTATCCACTGGGTCGCCCCGTAAACCAGTGGTCGAATGACTAGAGATATCTCTGTCCTCATTAGCCAGCCGCCCTCTGGCCACCCCGGTCGGTGTATACAAAACTCGGAAGTCGGCCCGTTTCAAGGAAACCTGAAGCACATGCACGGGCTGTCACTACAATCAGTCCGATGATTGACTTTGCTCAAGAACAACCTATGCCCTTCGCGCAACAGACTCTACTCGATCAGCGCAGGGAGTTAGATACCCCCATATTAGGGAGACCGGAACTTCAGGATCAGCTTAATAGCATTCACAATTAGCCTCCCCAAACAAGTGCCTGTTTCTTTCAAAAAGCATGGGCCATCAGCCCCCCGCCTCCCAGCAGCAAAGTCTCAGCTCCTGTCCAGCTGTCTACTACTTATGCCCGCCTCTGATATCAAGATTATTCTCTCGTTCTTCGTGTCTCTATTCTTTTTTTCTCTCTTTTTTTTTTGTCTTTAGTTTTGCATTGTCTGCTTTCTTCCAGCCCTCGTGGCGTGGCCTCCTTTGCTGATATTGGTATGAGTTAGGAAAATGTTCATCGGGGGTTTGAACTGGGAGACTACGGATCGTATGTATTTCCCACACACTACCAGTCCTATTCAAATCAAGTACAGCGTGTCTAACACAATGACCTAGAATCTCTGAAGGACTACTTTTCTCAATTTGGAGAGGTACAGGAATGCACTGTGATGCGAGACAGTGCTACTGGTCGCTCTAGAGGTTTTGGGTTCTTGACTTTCAGAGATCCGAAGACAGTGAACACTGTCATGGTCAAGGAGCACTACCTAGATGGGAAGATTGTAAGAATCTCTTTCATTCCAACATGCAGACCACTGTCGAATTATAAGCTTATGTTTGAATGACAGATCGATCCTAAGCGTGCGATCCCGCGTGACGAGCAAGAGAAGACTAGCAAGATCTTTGTTGGTGGTGTCAGCCAAGAGGCCAACGAACATGATTTCAAAGAGTTCTTTGCTCAGTTTGGCCGCGTCATCGATGCCACCCTGATGATCGACAAGGATACTGGTCGTCCCCGTGGCTTCGGATTTGTGACCTTCGATAGCGAGGCTGCCGTGGAAGCCGCTCTGTCGGGCCCCTTGGAGATCTGCGGGAAGCCCATAGAGGTCAAGAAAGCTCAGCCAAGAGGCAACTTGCGTGATGAGGAAGACCGCAGGTTCCGCCGCGGCAGGGACGCTTTCCGAGAGGGTGGTCAAATGGGGGGTGATGGTTCCCAGCAGCAAGCGGGTGCACCGGGACAGGCCAACATGGCTGGTGGATTAACACCACAAATGATGGCACAGTACTGGCAAAGGATGCAGCAGTATTTTGCTCTGATGCAACAGCAGATGGCTGTCGCCGCCGCTCAGGGTCAGGGAATGGGCGGAATGGGAATGGGTGGAATGAACCCTGCCATGATGCAGCAAATGCAACAAATGAAGCAGATGCAACAGATGCAGATGGGCAACAATCAGCCTCAAGGCAGTCTCAGTCCTCCTTCGCAGAGCGCAACTCCTCAAGCCATGCCGAACATGATGAACCCCGCTATGATGCAGCAAATGCAACAGATGCAGCAGATGCAGAGCCAAGGGCAGGGCAGCAACGTTGGGGGCATGCCGGCCCAAATGGGAAATGCTATGGGAGGAGGAGGTGGTGGTGGTGGTGGTAGTAGTGGTAGTGGTGGAGGAACACCAGGCAGTGCTAATGGAAATGGGAACTTCACTGGTCCTCGAGGGGGGCCTGGTTATAACGCCCAGGAACAAATTGCTTTTGAACAACAAAAGTATGAGCAGCAGCAGGTACGCCGAGCCATGGAAAACCGGGCCTTTTCGCCGTACCAGCAGGGCGGGCCCACTTCGTGGGAAGGCATGTACGATGAAGTGCCCCAGCCTAACATTCCTACTGGACCCCAGGCCATGAATCGCGCTGGAAGCATGGGACGCGGTATGTGATGATTATAGATGTCTGCCTTTCCGCTAGCTGACCCAGATGCAGGACCCACTCCGCAACCTCAAAGCGCTGCCCCGGCGAACGCTCCCACAGGACCCAAGAACGCTGGCAAGCCAGGCGCCAATTATCGTGGAGGTGGACGAGGAGGACACCGCGGCTTCCATCCTTATGCCCGGGGATAAGCCGGTATCCTTCTTTTGTGTGTGCGAATAGGTGTATCGTTCTGCTGTCGTCTCTTTCCAGTTTCTTGTTACTGTCATGATTTTGGTCCTCCCATCAAGTTTTCCCGCCTCCCCTATTGCAACTGCTGCTGCCTTTCGTATCAATGGGGGGATGGATCATCTTATCTCATACTCATAGTATGACCATTACAACGGTTGGTGAGGGGAGGCGAGGTCCTGTCATCATTGATGATGTCTAATGTAACTTTCTGAGTGATGCTTTCATTCATTTTCCCTCTCATGGCTGCTTTTTACCCCCTGTTGAAGTCTGGAGTCTCCTCGGCGGAAGGTTTCGAATCGAACCAGAAAAACCAAGAGTCGGTGTTGTTGCATATAATCCAAATTGGCGTTACCCTCAGTGCTTCTTATGTCAACCTTTCAGTTCGAAAACCAAAATCACTGTTCTCGTTTTCCAAACTGCAAGCCGTATCCTGCGCTCATCGCAACGTAGCTGCAGGACTTACGTAGTCAAAACCAAGTTTTCCCAGACATTAGATGACCTTGACCATCCAGTTCGGGTTTTGCAATCGCTATGATCATGAATAGGGATGAGTATATTTAAATTGAATGCTTTGAATTTGGAGTTCTATCTTTCTAGTACAAGATGTAGGTCTCAGCACCCTCAAATCCGGCTGAGTGTGTGAGCAGAGAGTGTAGCTTGCGCGTGCTGTCAACGCATTATTTCCCCGCAGCCTATCCACAATATCGGGGTCAAGACAATGCGTAGGAGCAATCCCCTATGAGCGCCAATTTACAAGAAAGCCTGAAAGCTAGAACTAGGTATGAATGGTAATGGCATGGTGGGAATCAGATGGGACAGAACAGAAAAGCAGACAAAGGGTAGTAAGAGAGTCAGAGAGGGAAAAAGGAGCGGCGTAACAAAATTGCAATGAAAACCAGTATCCACCATCAACCAAATCAAGTACGCTAAATTCGTCAAATTTGCCTGACACAAAAATTCTATGTTCAATATGTAAGATGAATATTGGGTCGAGAAAAGAAAATATTGGTACGTCGTCAAGTGCCATCCAGCGCAAACGGGCTTCAGTAAGCGAACCCATAGCCCGGGGTCGTGGCATGGTGCTTTTCGGGGTTTTCATGGCTGTCATGGCTTCGGCGGCTTTCTCGACTTATACTTCGACCATTGATGTCTTCAAGAGGATAGCTTGAATCAACCAACCGATCCGTGCTACCTGTAGGGCTGTGTCGCGATTTCGAATCATGTTGATCCCGGTAAGGTTCGTAAGGACCGGTAAAGTTAAACTTGCTCATTTCAGCGAAATCCTTGCGTGGAGGATGCTCCATGAGCAGAGATTCACGGGCGTCAAGAGGGGTCAGATCGTCGAGATCACGATTCATTTTGTCTAATAACACAACAGTCAGCAACGCAAAGTGTGTCAAACCCGGTGACTAGATCACTTACTAGCTTCCCTCTTCCGTTTAGCATGAGGGTTTTCGCGAATGCAGAGGATGATGGCGTTGGTGGCAATGAGAATGGCCAAGATACCACTCAGTCCCGACTGAATGGCAATAAGGACAATGCCGGTAACAGTTTTGGTCGTTTCCGAAAGTCCCAGCTCGTCGACGAAGATCAACACACACGCGATTGACAAGACACGAACCACTTGGACTGAAATGTTGATCCACTGGCTAGACTTGGCAACGTAAGGACGGTTCCACAGCAGGAGAGTAAGCATGAGAGCCTCCACGATGAGTTGACCAGCGCTTTGGGCAAGTCCATGACCATCTCCAGCAGCGATAACGCAACCCTTGGCAAACATGTATACAATGGCAGGGACGAAAGCCCACCAGTAGTCCTTTTTGTAGTTGTCGTAGAAAAGACTGTACTTGCGCCAGGTTTCGTCGTTGTCGTACAAATGGGACGCATCGCCTTCGGCCTTCTTGTACTTTCGAGCCACGAACATGATCTTGAGACCAAAGTACAATAACACAGCCGTGAAAACTGTGAGCGCCACAGCAGCCAAGAGCTTCGCCGCCCATGAATCCCCACTGCTGAGCTGATAGACACACCAGATCACCCAAACGCCGTACAGCAGCAAAATCAAGTTGGTAATTGTCCGACCCAGGAGACCCCAGTAGTCTTTGCGGAAGTTGGTAAGTTTGTCCGGGAAAGAGCCGTAGAGAGCCCAGACTTCGAGGATGACCTTGAGCAGCAAGATACCGACGGCGATAGCGGCAATGAGGATAGCGAAAATGAGCAGAACAGTCATGAAGGTATTGGCTTGAGGGATGGTGAGCTGTTCGGCATAGGCCTCAATACCGGAGACGAAATGTTCGAAACCACTGCTGTCATCGCTGGTGCTGTTAGACGACGAAGTAGTGTTGCTGCTATACGAGGTCGAGACCTCGCGCGCAGCTAGGTTAGCCAAGCCTGTAACCAGATCCAGTCCTCGCTTCGATTTGGAACTAGAATTCGTGCCGTCAGAGTACACGAGCGTGGCATTCATCAGATACTGGTAGCTGTTGTCGGTGAGGTTTCCGCCGGTCGACTTTCGGAAGTTATCGATGGACTCCTGCATCTGACCCCAAGGAATCAAGCCCGTGCTAAAGGCAAAGTTCTTCGAAAAGCTGCGGTACACCGTCGGGTAGCTGACACTGAGCATTCCATTAGTGGCCATAGTATGAAACCAACTCACGACATCACCGAAGCTGGGACTAGACGAGACAGCACCAGGGTGGCCAACAGCACCCAGAGCTGACAGCCCGGTCACGGCCAATGCCGCACCAGCCACACCAGCAGCAGCATAGGATACACCCGCAATCTGCATAGAATTGCCATTGGTTAATTCCGATTGGATGCATGCCAGCTGGTCATTGTCGGTCTTGGACAGCAATTGAAGCTTCACTTGGCCATCCAAATCTGGGATGGCGAAGGCGATGGACGGGATTTCACTAGCGATCGATTCAGGTAAGGTCTGGGTGCCAGTAGCGGAGAAGCTACCGGCAGCAACGGGACAGAGTTGCTCCACGTAGTATTTGCTGCTGCACGGGTCGAAAGTTTCAGAGTACAGTTGACTGCCGTAGGCATAGATGGTCAAAATGGCAGTGACATTCTGTTCTACCCCATTGGTGCCGGAAACATCGAAGACGATTTCTCTAGTAGAACGGGTGTAGGTAACGGATAGTTTGTCGACTTGGATAGCCGAGTCTGACATACAAGTTGTCAGACCATTGGTGCTGAGGGTATCGGCAGCGAGGGCTCGAGTGGCCAGGAGACCCAGCGCCGTAAGGGTTGAAAAAGAAGGAATGATCCGCATATTGACAATTGATGGATGTTGTTACTCAAGGCTGTGAATGTTCAAGGTGCCAGCATCAAGAAAGTCTTCACAGGGGGTTATGCAGGTAAGGGAGAGTTCCTTTTCGATTGAGATTGGCGACGATTATAAGGGTATATTTTTTGGGCGCAAGATTGAATCGCCGATCAAGATCAAGCAGCAACTAGGCTCGCCTGATGATACGGAGATTGTTGACAGGATCAACCTGTGTAGAATGAAATCGCTTAGAGAAGGTGAATCAAACTGTTGAAGCTGCAAACAGATGCTCGAAAGAGTGTGCAGAACCGCAATACAAGATATCCAAGCAAGCCACGAGAGGGGATGCCGTTCCAAAAAGTGTGAGGGCCGCACCCACACCCTCTCACTGACTTCTGTCACTCGCTGTCCGTCGCAAACGTTAAGGGAGTGGAGGCAGGAGAGCGCGATTCATGAAGCGGGGGGGCAGAGAGGTTTGAGAAAACGAGAGTCTTGTGGGCAAACAGATTGTTTGCCAGCACGAGAGAAGAGGATAGGCGCTCAACTCTTGAGACTGAAGAAAAGGGGGGGTGGGTGGTGGGTTGAGGAGAGCGCGCGGCTAGGCAGAGAAAGTGAGTGATAGGGTTGTGAGTAAGGAGTGGAAACGCGCGAAAGGGACAGATGCTGGCTAACAGATCAAACCGACGGATGAGCGACGAAAAGGGAAGAACGAAAGAACCATGCAGAACGAATGTTGGATGGAGACAACCAGACTCCGAGGATAATGGGGGTGGAGGAGGGGGAAAGAGAAGAGAGGGAGGGGAAGTGATGTGTGAAAGGAAAGATGAGATGGGATGGATAGTAGAGTAGCTGCCTGTCTCGGTCAGTCACTGTCTCGTTTCTCTCTTTCTTTCTTTCTTTCTCTCTCTCTTCTAAAGTTACCTGCGACTTACAGCCCGTACTCTGCGTTACCACCACTCAGTAGTCTAGTACTACTTCCTCCTGTCAGGTACCAGGTTAGTAGTAATGTTATTGGGTATTATTGTTGGCTAACGACCATTGGCCCGGCAGGTGGTTCGAGACTCTGACCATACACAAACTGGGAGTACTAAGTTGCCCCTGAGTGTCTCGAAATTCGCCCCATGCGAGCTTCTCATTGGGCATGTGATCAGGTCCCCGCCCCAGAAGAGCAGCGGGTTGGTCAGGGACGGGCGGCTGGGGCCAGTCTGGACTTGCCGCTAATGAAGCTAGTCGTCTTATTTCTGGGCTCGATCGTTTTTTATTATTTTTCCCGGCGCCACCGTCCTGGCACAAAACCCAGTCACGATACATGAAGTCAGTCTCGTTGTGAAACCTGAAAATGGAGACTCGAACTATTCATAGCAAAGATACGATGAAAATCTTGTACTAACATAGGCTAGTTGACTGATTGTCTCTCTCTCTCTCTCTCTCTCTGTCTGCGCTACTTTTTTCATACCTTTTTTTTCTATGCACTTGGAGTGGCCTGCCTAGTGAAGATTCCAAACTCAAAAGATCATGGGTCAAGGAAGGGGGGAGAAATGACCTTTCTTAACTAACAAGTAGACTAGTCAGTGGTCTACATAGTAGTTACCAGCCGATAGAAGCTTGACCTTCAACCTTCCCGTCCGTGTTGATTATTCGAGTTACTATTCTCATCTCCCAGTTTCCCGAAATAAAATTGCAAGGATG